TCTGTCTTCTTTCAACTAAGGAAGAGAGATCAATCTGAAAGCTTGATCCAAATGATGAATGTCCAACAAATGTTAACAGTGATGCAGAATCAGCCTATTTGACAGTTTTGGTATACTGAGGATTAATCTGGGTTTCAGTTTTAATTCTGTTTTTAAAATGCTCATAAATATGGTGACTGCCTCTTCAAGCATTACATTCAAACTTTTCTTCCTAATGTCTTTTTTCCCTTTGGAAAAGTCATTTTAAGACTGAAGCTGTTGCACTGAAAATGGCCTAATTTTATTCTGAGCACTTTTCCAATGGGGTCCCACACTTGAGTCACTCTCTGTGCAATGCTTTAGTACTCTGTGTGCTTCAGCATACTCTGAATTTAAAATGAAATGGTTTTCCTGCTAAAGTAAAATAATTTCCTGTAAATAAACATAAATGCAGGTTGTGGAGATGGAATCATCATCTGTAGAGGTTTTCTTCTCTCAGGTCACATTGTATTTATACTTTATGTAAAGCGCAGCACTATCCTGTGTGTTTCAGCAGAGTATGTCCTCTTTGTTATAGGTATAGGTACTTACAGTCTAACTTGATTAGCATTTTTATCCAAAATGTAGCACTTTGGTAGCTTGATAATTTAGCGTATTAAAACCAAACATTCCTCTTTTACAGGAGAGAGTGTTCTCTTGATAAAGAGATAGCTGCCAGTGGCTACACAAAAGAAATGCAGGAAGATGATGACGACCTGCTTTGTCCACCAGGTTCTGACAAGCATGACAACACAACAGAGGTACTAGAGCTTGGAGAAGATGCTGAGAATGAGCTGAACTTCTTCAGCAAAGATGGAGAAAATAATGAAGACTTCACGTATGAAGTGGGTGATTTCTCTGAAAGCAGGACCTCTGACAATGCCGTGTGTAGCAGTGAGGAAGAGGCTGATACAGCTGAAAGTAGAGAAAATACGCAAAGGCTGAGTATGGCAGAATTGAGTTCAGCCTTGGAGAAAGCTGGAGGGCAAGCTATGCTTTGGAAGTGCAGTGGAGATGCAGAGAGTTCTGCGATTACTTCTTTTAAAGGCAAAAGCATAAACAAAAATGCTGTGGAAATGGAAGATCAGAGGGGTCAGAGAGGGTCCTGTAAAGACAAGGAGAATGAATATGAGTGCCCAGAGCTGGTTGACTCGTCAACTTTAAATCAGGAGTTCAGGCATTACAGGTAAAGATTCATAATTACTATCTAGGAGTGGATGTGGTTCCTCCCCTTCTCCCAGTAAATGTGAATGTTTCAAGCAGCTCAAGAAGGACTGCTCTTCAGCTGCCCTTGTTTTAACTGAAGACTAAAAGTGTAGTTTATTTTGAAAACATTTCTGTGAATATCTTTCCTGATGGTCTCATGATTGTCTAGCTGTGTAATAGTTTCTAATGAGAAAACAGGTGTTGCACTTCATAGACCAACTTAATTTGTTGTATATATATAAAATATATATATATATATATTTTTCCCCTTTTTATTTCAGTTAATATTGCTAGTGGAGGAGTTCTTTATGTTAAAATACTACTTCTTAATAACTTTTATGAGTAAGTGTATAATTCAGATACTCTGTGTCAAAGTGTTCTGCTGCTTACTCAGCTGAAGTTAGCCAAAATGAATGGCTTGGACTGTAGTATTAAAATACATTGCATCGTGTGTTGTTCTAGCTTTTAATTCCTCTCCCAACATACTTACAAATTCCTGCTTACCTTCTGACTAGCCCCTTGTATGTGAAATTTAATTCCTGAGTTTGCAGCCTGCCATGTACCTGGATGCATAGATCAAGCTAATAGTCCTCATCTGTTTTTTTGCTTTTCAGTTAAATGACTTGTCAAAACATTGTGCACAATCTAAGACATTTTTTTTTTAGTGCTCTGAGGCTTCTCTTTGTGTACTTGATACACATGTGACTGTTGTGCAACAAATTTTTTCCTTTCATGAAGTGCCTGTTTTGGAAAACTAGTGTTAATATTTAAAATACAAACGTTTTGTAGCACTAGGCATGTTCTCTTGTGAGTTTTCAGGTTATATGCCAGAAGGTTAAGACTCAAACATAGTGCTCAGAAAGGCCAAGGTCTTGCTAATGGAATAATACATTGATTTATGTGTTCTCTTAGTGAGGAGTGTGTTGTTCCTGTTGCTGGGCACAGAACAAGGACTAAAAGTATCTCATCAGTGAGAAGTGTTGGGAGCTGCTCCACCATTCCTCCGGTAAATATTGTTGTTGTTCTGCTCTTATTGCTCTCAGACCACGTTAAATTGCACACAGCTGCCAGCACCTATTTGTAAAACTGTCCTCTGGCGTTTATCATGTTTACAAACACTGTTACCATGTCATCCATAGCAGAATGAAGCACAGGTGCACGTAACATGAAATTTCATAAAACTACTGCAGTTTTGTGTAAATGGCAGTCATTGTTTTTCAGTGTTTATACTGTGGAGGCAGGAGACAGTCCTGACCTTGTGAATATTTACAGGAAAAAGCCTCACAATGGGAAAACTGGAGCAGGAATTGCAAATCACTCCTGACTTAGGAACACTTGTGGCAAGAAGTTGTTGTTTTCCATTAGAAGCACTCAGATCTTTGTAATCTAAACTTTAGAAAAACCAAGGTGCTAAAAAAAATAGGCACAAACTAAATAATTACTGCTGGACCTGAAGTGTTCTAGAATATTATCACCTTTTACATTTTTGTAGTAATGTGTTTTGCATAGAGAGGTGCTGGTCTTTTATCATTTCTGTAAGAAAAGACACTTAAAACTCTGTAAGGCAGGATTTAAAGTGCTATTTATTAGACCTAAGACTGTGAGAAGACCATAGCATAGATAACCCCTTTAGATGCTAGGAGTCCTTGGGGTGTGGCATTAAACACACATGCGGCATTCCTTACAGGCTTTGTCCACAACAGAGAATCTTCCTTTTCAGTCAGCTGATTTATGATTTTCTTACAAGGAAGCACCTCTAATCATCCTTTTTGCAGTCAACATCATGTTCATGGTGATGCTGAGAAAGAGCTGTTGTTGTGTTGTGGTGCTAAATGGTCCAAAGAAAGTTCTGATGCTGAATTGTTTGCTTGTAGGAACTGGTAAAGCAGAAGATAAAACGTCAGCTGACCAAGCAGCAAAAGGCTGCTCTGAAGCAACGACTGCAAAAGGGAGAAGCAAATGTTTATACCAAACAACGCAGGGAAAATATGCACAACATCAAGTCGAGCTTGGAAGCAGCCAATTTCTGGGGATAATTTATTAAAGGTCCTGTGGAACATGAGAAATGTATACAGAAAGAATAAAGCTAATTTACCATAATTGTCTTTAATAATGGAGCAGTCTCTTCTATGTAAATCCAGTGTTTTTCTGGAATTTAATAAACCTCATTCTGGTTCCTGAGATTTTGACTTGGGAGGGATTGTGTTTTGTGTTTCTGGTCAAAACTGTTGACTGTAATTTACATTGTATCAGTGGTACTGGTTAAGATCATGGCAGTGATTTCCAGCAGCATCTTGTTGTAAATCAATTGTACTTTCTAGTGCAGAGGATTTCTCTTAAAAGGGAAAGAAGGAAAATTTTTAAAAGCAATTTCTGCAATTACACAAGATTTAAGTACATGCATATGATGAATATGCATTCTTTGAAGCCAACAATTCTCATATTTTCCTTCACTCTGATATCTCACATAAGTATTTCAACAGAGCCTGGCCATGGGTTCTCCTCTCTGCTTCACCCTCCATTTCATCCCCCTTAGAATGTGCTGAAGGCTGCAGATTGTGCACATGGGGAGTCATTGTGGAATCGGTTCCAGACATGCTCTGCATTCCATCTGACTCCTATCACATTACAATCCATGGAAAAGGATTCAATTCTTGTTCTTATTTGGAATCTGATTATTCAGATACATCTGTTAAGTGAAGGTAACTACACTTTCTGAACGCAGAATATGTATATACTGATCTGAAGGAAGTGGCTAGTGAAAATAAACATGCCAAACCTTCCCATCAGAAAACATTTTTCTCTGAGTGTGATTGAAGCATTTGGATGAGATTCTTTTCTCACTTATGGTACCATAAGTCAATGGCAACTTCACTAAACTCATCAGAGTAAACAAGTCCAAAATTTAGTTTACTTGTTCATCCCTTACTATCCACCTTGCAGTTAGAAATTATGTAAGGTTTCAAGAACGATAAGCTCTTTGTTAGTACCAGTCTTGACCTATGACTCAGTTGTCACAGATACTTCCATTTATTTTGGCTTTACAGTTAGGTGTTTTTATAGTAAGGCTAAAAAGGAATTTTAAAAATTAACCTTAGTACCTATGCAAAGCTTCAGGAAAAGATTGAAGCAGAAAAATGTAACTCCCTCGTGATCAGGATATTTCACTATGTTTACATGCTGTATAGGATTGGAGTATTATATTTTCATAGTATTTTAATACCTTTTAGTCTCTGAAATGCCACCAGATACACTTTGATTCCCAAGGGAAAGCCTTAAACATTTAGTTTAGCTTATAAAGCGAAGTTACTGACATTAAATAATATGAACTTTGTAGTGTGTCTTGTTAAACAAGCCCTGTTATTGCTGCCCTAATTGTAGGATGCTCAACCTTTACATTCTGTGAAAAGTGTTGTGAACAAATCCTAAAGCTGTGGTGCAGACACATATGTTGAAATGGAATATAGTTAGCATAAGTTAGTAAATGGTAAAGTTGTTCTGTGTTGCTCCCTGCAATGTGGGGAGACCAGGTGGCCCAGCCTCCAGCAGCATTTTAAACCTTTATACAGGCTAGTGTGTCCCAAAATTCGATGGCCAACATCCCAGCTCAGGTAAGATGTAATGAAAATAACTTCAGTTGCTTGTAAGGTAAGCAGTTTTTTTCAGTAGTGAATACTTCAGAAAATAGGCTTTTCTATTCCAATCTTAAAGCCTTTATTGCATTTGCAACTGGCTATTTAAAATGCAGCAGGAGCTGTAAAGATGGATTTTTTTTTATTATTATTTCATTAAAGAATCATTGAAGTATAGCCTTTTTCCCTTTTCACCCACAAAATAGAAGTCTCTTGAGTTACATCTCTGGCAGTCTGGGAGTGGTGACCCTCTGAAGAGATGAGAGTTTACACAATTAGCTAGTAGTATGAAAAAAAGAAAAAAGGTAGTAACAGGAAAAAAATCCTTTTAGCAAGCACTGATTTAATGACATAATTAAAACCTAAAGGCTGACTAGTATCAAGAAGTTAAAAAGGCAGCATGTTGAAAGTAACAGATGCTAATTCTTGAACCCCCCTGACTGAAGGCTGACTCAGTTTAAGCCTGTTCATGGGGCTTTTGTAGTCCAGAGCCTCTAAAGCATCATTTCATGAATCTTACCTGCATATATTACCTGGTTCCCACTGACAGTAGTGAAGAATACAATGTAGGCAAAATTATCTTAGTTCTGTTCAGGAATGCGAATTTTGCAAAAAGTTTTCCCTAAGTTCTTATAAAAGATTTGACAAACAGTTCTTATTTGAAGTCATATGTTCCAAAAGTCCTTTAACAGCCTGAGGAATGCTTGCACTTTCAACAGCAGAAAGATTTTTACATTTTAAGGGCAGAAAAAATGTAGGCATCTGAGGACCTTCAGAATTATTACAAAGCAATATTAATCTTTCAGAAAATATTACTGATACATATCTGATGCAATGCATCTTTTAGCCAGTTTTATTTCATACAACCCTTTGCCTTTTGTTGGCCACAATACTGAATACATCCAGTATATTTATTGGATTTATCTGGACCATGGTCAATCCAAAGTTGTAGCTTTGAGAAGATTTTAAGCCTTTGACTATGATTAACTTGAAATCATAATTGTTATTTTGTTTTGGGAGCTGTTAAGTTGGTAAATAGTTAACTGGTTACTGAGCTAGTTAGATATGAAAAAAGTAAATGGCATGCAAGAACTATTTAGTTGGAGACACTGGAAGCTGTAGACTGGAAGAGAATAATCGAAACCTCAGTAGTAGAAACCAGCTACTTCACTTTCCTTTAGTTTGTTTTTCTTTCAGCTCCCTGTGAGCAAAAAACTTAAGATCAAGATGTGTGTGTGAAAGCACAAGGGAATGCAGGGATGGATGTCCCATTGTGACACCACTGGTTGGTGGATACATCACTGGGTGGTGGATTATGACATCACCAGGGAATGGATTGTGACCTTGTGTTCCTTGCTATTCATGTTCAGGTGCGAGACTGAGCGGCAGATTGTGACCACTGAGCAGCACATTGTGACATCACGAGGGGACAGATTGCGATGTCATGTCCCTCACTGATTAGACTTGGGTGCTGCCAGAGCCTGGGTCAGACTGGCTCCAGCTCTACAGTGCCTGTGAGTGGGAACATCTCCTGGTCCTCAGCTCCCCCCAGCCTGCTGGGACCAGACATGGCCACGGAGACACAGTGGAGCTGCCCCATCTGCCACAGCATTCGGAATGACGTGGCTTCCACTCTGCCCTGCCGCCACCAGTTCTGCCTGGGCTGCATCCTGCGGTGGGCAAAGACAAACCCAGCGTGCCCACTTTGCAGCAAGCCAGTGGAAACTGTCAGGTTCTCTGAGCGGGGCGAGCAGGACTACATCCAGTTTGAAATCACAGCCCCCGAGGAGCGACTGGAGACCAACTGCCGGGCAGGGAGAGCTCGCTTCTGCCTGGCCGAGAACAGCCCCCAGCACCCTGTGGTGCCCACTCCACCTTCTCCACAGGGAACACTGTCCCCAGCTGGGCAGGAGGATGCAGGGACAGACTCCGTGGGTGGCATCCCATCCGAGGCGTGGGCAGCACTTTTCCGTTGCCAGCAGCACCTCCTGGACCCTGCACGATCCTGGCTGCGCCAGAGGCTGGCTGCACTCTACGGGGAGCAGTGGTGGAGGGTAGAGGCTGCAGAGGGATCCATCCTGCATGGCCTCTGTGCCTGCGGGCTGCGTGCTGAGGTCCTGATGGAGGTCCTGGAGCCCCTTCTCAGCAGGCACACAGCACCACTGATCCGTGACATCATCAGTGTCATTGTGGGCCAGTGCAGTGAGGAGGCACAGAGACTGCAGGGCTTCCACCAGGCCAGAGATGAGGACAGCAGGCCTGCAGCCAGAGCCAGCTCCAGCAGCTCCCAGGAGAGAACTCCTACCAGCAGCCCTGCAGGCTCCAAGGTAGAAGAGGGAGCTGAAACATCACAGACTGACTTCCAAGGGAATCCCAGCTGCCCCGGAGCTGTGCCTGACCCTGCAGAGCAGAACCAGCCCCAGGAGGAGCCAGAGGATCCCTGTGCCCAGGGCAGCAGCCACAGCCCCTCTGCTCCTTGATAGGGCAGGGACTACTCGCCCAGAGGATCCCAGCAACCCTCAAAGAGGAGGGTCCCCAGCCCCCAGGATTCTCCTTAGCCCAGCAAGAGGTGGCCTCGCAGGTTGGCAGTAGCAGGGCTCCAGAAACTCTTTAGCTGAGCAGAAGCAAATAAATGACTATTTCCCTGACAAAGTCTTGAGGAGCTGCTTTCTCCCTCTTATGGTGCCTTTCCCTGTCCCTCAGGCCCGACAGTCATCTGAGGGCCCCCAGAGCTCCCAGGGCCATTCCAGTAGCACCTCCTCACACAGGAAATCCCGCTGCAGCTGCTCTGGGGGAAGGGCTCCTAAAACAGTGGTCATCCTGTCAGATATTTGGGGCTTCCTGCAGACAGGACTCACCCCACAGGAGCCTAGGTGGCAAGAACATGCTCCCAGGAGGAGGCCACCTCACCTGGTGGCCTTCTATGATGGACTGACCCTGTCCCAGTGGACAAAGTTGCAAATGCCACTGGTCTGGAATTCTGTGAGGCCTTCAGCTCCTACAACATCCTTCCCTTCAATGGAGGAGAGATAGATTAGGATAAAGCATAAAAACCAAGTGTGGGTCAGCAGATGTGTAAGCATAAATCCTGCTTAGAATAAGGAATCAAAATGTATTCTGAAAAGCAGGACCAGCACCAGGATGAGCCATCTCTACCCAGCCTGCTAATCATGGAGACACAGACATGGAAAAGAACTAAGGGCTGCCAGAGGCCAGCAGTCAGGCAGAGACAGATGCCAGCACCCCGAAAACAGCTTTAGATATATCAGTGTCTTCAGCTTCTCTGTCTGGGGTTTCTTTGTTTGGTCAGTTTGTTTGGTTTTGTCTTGATTGGTTCATTCCAGATGATCTTCATTTTCATTAGGGCTCATTAGCTGCTAACACGCTGCTTCAGATAAGGCTAGAATAGACATTTTCATGTATATTTTCCTCAGAACAATCATTTTTATCTTCTTTCTGACAAGAATGTATAAACATTCTTTTAAAAAGATTTAGTCTTTCAATTGCTGTGGGAGAGAGCAGGGGTTTTTCTGCATTAGAAAACCATTGCTTAAACTGTACTAGATGACTAACTAGTTTCCAAATTTTATATACACTCACAGCAGAGAAACCTATTATTGTAGGGTAACTGGAGAATATTCTTATCATTATTACAGATACTCAGAAATTGAAAGGAAGAACCCAAATTTAATTCTCAGTGACCAACTGGTAACTGCAGTACCCAACATTTAGTGAAGTGTGAGCTAAATGTCAATGGACTAGAAGATACTGTTACTGTAAAATGCTAAAAAGTTGCTGTCACTTCATTAAAACAAAAAAAAAACACAGAAACAAACAAAACCTCACTCTTTTTTTTTTTTTTTTTCTTTTAATCTTGCCTATGCCTATGGTAGTGTATTTTGGTTTTTTCTCAATGCCTTCCATCCAGCCAGTGTCCACCACATCCCCACCAACTAAGTGTAATCAACTGTAGCAATCAAAGATCAAAGAGTAGACAAGTTTGTCACAAAACTGAGCCTTCTGAAAGAATGATTTCTGTTAGAGACTCCATCAGGCCTTTCTGATTAAATCTCTTTCCTCCATTAATTCCCAGTTCTCATAAATACTACACAAATTCATCCTTACTTAAGGACCTTTGTCACGGTGAATGTATTTCTTTATACTCTGACTGACTGAGTTGATTCTGAACTCAGCCTATTCTTTTGTTCCACTTTTTTCTTCATTTTCAGATTTCTCAGTCACAACTACAATGCCAAAATCAAAAGCTTAGCAGTTCTCAGGGGCTGAGGGCCCAGGCTAGAGAGTCATAAGCCATAATAAAAATAAGGGAGCAGTCACTAGGATTTCAGCAGAAAATGTTTTTGGTTCCTAAAGCAGCTGACAAAGGACTGAGCTTTCACTGAGTTCATTAAGATCCATTGTGGAAAGCATTTTTTCACTAAATACATGCTTGGCTTTATATTTGAAAAACAGTATAAAAAGGGAAGATTACTACAAAATCTGTTTTCAAAAACATGGATACTTGTATAAATAAATGGACAGACAAAAAAGCTGTTGTTCCTTGTATTTCAAAAAATGCTACATACAAATTTATTCCAATTTTATATTAACACTTGTCAAGGAGAAAATTAAATACAAGAAATACATGTATATATGAACAAGACAGAGATCCGATGGCTAGATCTAAAAGCATGAAGTATAAAAATTTCACAGTAACATCTCAATTGCACATTATCATGAAGCAATTTTTTGTATTTCAAAAAAGTATTTCAAAAAGTATTTCAGGAAAGCAGTAAAGAAAGCACTGATTAGACTTTGGGCAAAGAAACATTTGTGCTAAAATGTAGATATACTACAGGAAAAATCTACAGATGGTAGAAGTCCACATTATTTAAACTCTTAAATCCACTTTGTTTTCCCAGCTAATAGGTTCACATATAGAGCCTCCCAAAAATTCCTGAAAACACTGAAAGCAACAGAGTTCAGCTGAACTTTATGTGGGGAGAACTTGTCATTAAGGACTGACCCAACGTACAAATCAAACTTATTTCTCATTTAATTTTGTTTATACAGCCAGCTACTTCTCTAATAGATTTTCTTTAACTGATCTGGATTCTATTTGCAAATAATTTTCACGCTCCGTATACTGTATTGGCTGATCAGTAACGCTGTTATTTTACTGAAAAGGTAAATTTGAAAAAAAAAAAAAAAAAAGGGCAAAAAACCCCAACCAAAACTGTAACCAACTTACCATTGAAATTAAAACATTATGTGTGCAAGTTTAAAGTCTGACAAGTAAAAAAAGTCCAGAGCCACCCCAGGGAGCACCGCCGGCCGAGTCCCTCCCTCTGGGACGAGGAGCCTCCGCCCAGGTCCGGCCGGGCCGAGCAGCGGTTTCAGCCCCGGCTCCCGGCAGGGTGAAGGGACTTGCGAGCCGCTGAGGAGACGGTGAGGCTGAGGGGGCCCGGGGCGGCTAGGAAGTCGGTGGGACTGTGAGGGCTGAGAGGGGGAGCGGCGGGGCTGAGAGAGCTGAGGGGGACTGAGAGATGGAGTGAGGTGGTTTAGACTAAGGGGACT